TGGCTTCTTTTACATCTTCATCCTCATATATCGTATCATCTCGCATTAAGCCTAGTTTATTGAATCCTGCAGCATTGTAATACCATTTTGGAATACCAGGCCTGATGCTGCAACAGCAGCCATTCTTGACTGCCTTCTGGGTATGTCCTAGAGGATGCGCCGGGCCAGTGCCCTCTCTTCAAGTTTTATAAACACACTTATCTCATAAAAGCAGTGAGAATTTATTCAAAGGAAAGGCAATGAGAAGGCTTCCAGTTTAAAAGAAATGTATAACTTATTTATCTTTTACTTATATATTTTTTCACAATTTTTGAGAAAAGCTAATGTAAATAGTTAAGTCTCTCAGAAGAGAAATAGTCAGATTTGGTTTTTCGTTAAGTTTTAACTCCGACTGGAGTATCTTCATTCTCCTCACTCTGAAAAGTTACCTCTTCTTGGATGTTCTTAGTACCTTATTCCTTCCCTCAGGAGATTTAATTATTTCCTTATTATTATTTTTTAACTGACTTTGTCTGTCTTTTATAGATAAGTAATTAAGTGGAGAAAATTACTTTTTGCTCGTGACTAAGTACACTAGTATATGCAATAATAACTACCATAAGTCTTTACTTTTACAGGTATTATTTTAATTCATCAGAAAGTAGATATTATGCCATTTGAGAGATAAGAAAACAGAGTCTTAAACTTAAGTAATTTCCCCAAAGCCATAGAGCTTGCAGCACCTGTTGAGTGTGGTAAAGCAATTTTTGTTGTTGTTGTAGTATTGGGGCTTGCATATGCTAGGCAAGCATTCTACCATTCTACCACTAAATTACATCTCCAGCTCTTTAAAAAAATTTTAAAATTTATTCTAATTAGGTATATATGACAGTAGAATGCATTTTGATTCATTGTACACAATTGCAGCACAACTTTTCATTTCTCTGGTTATATACAATGTAGCATTGCGCAATATATATGTGCAGTCAATACATGTACCTAGGGTAATGATGTCCACCTCATTCCATCATCTTTCCTGCCCTCATTCCCCCTCCCTTCCCTTCCCTCCCCTTCCCTCCTATTTGCCTAATCAGTTCCTCCATTTTCCCCATTGCCTACCCCTCATTTTTTTTTTTTTTTTTTTTGAGACAGGGATTGCCAAGGTTGGCTTTGAATTTGCAATCCTCCTGCGTTGGCCCCCAGAGAAGGTGGGATTGACAGGTGTGACACCTCCCTTCCCTTCAGCTTTCATTCTTTCTTTTTTTTTTTTTAAATTATTTATTTATTTTTTAGTTTTTGTCGGACACAACATCTTTGTTTATTTGTGGTGCTGAGGATCGAACCCGGGCCGCACGCATGCCAGGCGAGCGCGCTACTGCTTGAGCCACTTCCCCAGCCTCAGCTTTCTTTTTTGTGTGTGGGATTGAACCCAGGGGCTCCAAGTGTTCTACCACTGAGCAATCTCCCAAGCGCTAAAGCAATCTTACGCAAATTCACTGAAACTCACTCACTTTGGATAACAGCAATATTACATACTATTCAGCTTCCATCAGATTTGAAATTTAAAAACATAAGCATTCCAACATATGTTGGTCCTATTTTCTTTCAGTGAAGTTCTTGCAACAAATTTATCCTAAATTTAATTGGGAATGGAAACAATTTATGAACTAACATGTAAAAGAGAAAAACTTCCTGAGACAGATTTTCTTTTGATTTGCCATATATTGTGTCAAAGAGTAAATGCTTATTCATTCTTTCACTCAGCAGACATCCATGGGGCGTTTATTTTGTATGATGAGTTTGGCAGCAAGGAATACAAGGCTGAATGGGAAACAGACCTATCTTAAAGGAATTAGTGATCTAGTGAGGGAGAGTGTAAACATGTAAATAATTATAATTAACTAGAATACTCCAAGTCAAAGCCATAAGAATATAAAGGTGGCAGAGATTACTTTCAGTTGGAAGGAAATCATGTTCGACCAAACGTGGCATTAGACAAATACAAAAGGTTTATTTATAATGCCTTACCAATTTTATCTACAAAAGTTGCAGACATTTTTCAAAACATAAACTTCATTATTTAAAGGCTAGTCTTTTTATCTAAAACATTAGAACCAGCTAGGTGTGGTGGCCCATACCTGTAATCAGTCCCAGTTAACTGGGGAGGCTGATGTGGGAGGATCCCTTAATTGGAGACCAATACCTGAGCAGCAAAGTGAGATTCTTCCAAAAAAAAAAAAAGGAAAGAGAGAGAAAAAAAAAAGCCTGAATTAAATAATGTTACAATGGATTATAGCATAACCAATATAATCAGCTGGACTTCTACAGAGAGCAGGTTGTGAGATGGAGTAGCACCCACATAAAGATACTCAATAGTTCAAAGATTTTAAAATTTCTTCTTACAAATTACAAGATACATGATCTTGAATGTGAATGAGCATAAAACAATCCATTTATTCCTTGTCAACCTAAAGCTGCCTCTCCCTTTGAAAGATGTGTTGTACTTTTCCTATTGGCTTAGAATTTGAACCAATAAGGGAGGAGGAAATCTTTATAAACGTCCACAAAGGAAGGCTGGCCTTGTGAATGTTGAGTAAAGATTGCTTTGTTCTTCATTTGAGTCTGACTTTCAGAATTTTATGGTATTGACGTTTTTCTTTTTACTGGCAGAGTAAGGAAAAAAAATTATTCAGCTCGGATGTTGTCTTTGTGCCTTGAAATATTCTTTCCAATGTTAAAAACACTTCATTTCTTATTGTTCAGATTTAAAATGTGATAAATCCTTAATAGATGTTCAAAGGAAAACAAAGAATTTAAATGCAAGTTTTATTATCATGTTGAACGTATTTCATATGAACGAAATTAACATTAATTTGCTAGACTTGCTTGAAGTTTATAATTACTAGGGTTCTTTCATTTCAAAAGTGGCATATATTATAGTTATTAGCCTCTATTAAGGGCTGTTGAGAGGCAAAGCTAATATTAGGTTCTCAGCAATGGCTATTATATATTGAGATTCTGGGTTATTACAATTTTTTGTTTTTGACATTTAGTAAAAGCATTAAGAAAGGTGTTTGCATAGTAATTTCTTAACACTGGAACTCAAGAGATCTCTAAAAAAAAGAAAAGAGGAAAAAAAAATTCCCTTCTTCCCCCTCCCCCCTCGTGTGGGTGATTTTATCAGAAAATTTACCATCCTGAGTTCCCTGTTTACAGGTTTCTAGAAAAATCAATAGAATAGTGTTGGGGCACCAATTAGATCTAAATGAAGAAAAAAATTCACTTGCACTTTCCCCAACTTTACACTCAGTTTATAGCAAGTGTCCTAACAATATTGAAAGACCATGTCTTTTGGAAGAAAAGGAATACTTGGTCAAGAGTTTATTTCATTTCTCTATTCTGCGAAATGGGATACAAAGTAACTGCAAAGAGATGGGACCGAGGAAGGAAAAAAACAAAACACCAAGCAAAACCACAACCATCAGTATCACTAGTCAGAAAGCTAAGATGGGAATTTTTCATAACCTGTAATACTTCATATCAGAACACAGAACAAATAAACCGGGGAAGACAGAGTTCACGGGGACACATGGAGCAGGCTTGGAGGACAGGCTAATAATATAGAAATCGCAAAAGGGAAGAGAATACTCTTGCTTTTTCTTGTCATCCGAAGGAAAAAACGAAAACAAAAACAAAAAAACCTCAAGCTCTGCAGGGGGCAAAGGCCGGTGCCCACAGTTCCACATGCAAATGTGCCTGCACGTTTGTTTCCGCCAGCGAGTTCAGACCCACGTTGGCAGCGCGGGTAGGGAGCAGGCAGCCTCCGTCCGGCCGCCGTCTCCTTTGTCTCCGCGCTGGGCGCCGCGGCTGCGGCCCTTCTTTGCCCGGAGTGAGCAGCCCCTGCGAGCAGTGCGGGGCGGTCCGGCCCGCCCGCCGTCCCTCCCAACTTGCAGCCGGGACCCCACGCTGGCGGGCCCGCCCCAGCTGCTATTTCCTCCCTCAGCTCGGCCTGCTAGTACGACCTTGTGTTTGTTTTGATTTTCGGGCTTGGGAGAGAGAAACGAGGGCTGGAAACTGCCGTGGTTCAGCAACTGCTTATTTTGGCAGGAATTCCGACCCCGGGTCGCTACATTCAACCGCGCGAAACGGCTCCAGCCTTCCCCCAGAACCTGATAAATGGACAGAAGCTTGCTCCTTCCGGTGCCCCTGACTAGGAAGGGGAAAGCCACAGGCTGGAGCCAGCCCGCGGGGGCTGGGGGCCCCACGCCGTAGAACCGGCCAGGCCGGGGCTTGCTCTCCTGAGGGAGCGGGAGAGGTGGAGCGCCGGCGGGTTCGGGTCGCCCGGGCCGGCCCCACGGGGCGGGTCGACGCGCCCTGGCGGAGCCCCGGAACGAACCAGAGGTCGCGGCGGGGAGCCGGCGGGTGTGGGGGAGGCGGAGGGCGGCGATCCACCTGGGCGACGTGGCAGCCATTGCCTACTCTTAGAGACCCCTCCCCACGCGGCCGCCCACCCGCCCTCTCGCGGCTGGCTCCTGTGAGGCTGCTCTTCCCCGGTCGGACAGAGAGCGGCAGTGTCTCCCCGCTCCGCGCGCTCGTTGCGCGTCTCCCCCCGCGGCCGCAGCTGCTCGCCAGCCCTGCGCGGCGCCGGAGAGCGCAGTGGCGGCGGCGGGAAAGGGCTGCGGACCCGCGGTGCCGCGTCGCACACTCGACGACGCGGCTCCGGCTTCGGTGCCCTCCGCCCGCTCCAGGAGCAGGTAAAGGCTTTGGGCGGGAGGTAGGCGGCGGGGCCCGGGAAGGGGCCGGGGAGGGAAAGGATCCCGGGGCGCCGAGCTGAAGCGGAGGGCCTGAGGCAGCGGCGGGTGGCGCTACGACTAAAAGCAAAGCTCCGAACAAGGGGGCCGACGCGGGCTGTCCGGCCCGCGGGCCGGGCCGCGGGACAGAAGGGAAGTGAGGCGTCGGCGAGAGGCGGGCCCTGGCACGCAGCCCGAGGCTGGGCGAAGGCGGGCGCCGCGGCTGCTTCCCGGCCTCCCACTGCCTGGCGGGCCTCCAGGCCCCAGACACGCCCCTCTTGCCCCCTTGGTCACCCCCTCCGATTCCGCCGGGGCTTGACCTTGCACTCCTCCGCGCGCCTTCGGTGTTTCCCAGGCGGAGCCTTCTGGGAACTTGAGGCCACCTTCCCGAGCACGTAGTCCTAGCAGAGCTGTTTATTTACTCACTTTTCCAAATCCAAACACACAGCCACTCACTCCACACCTAAGGGTTTTGGATTCTGCAGGGAGACGTTCCCCTTCCCTAGTATTTGTGCGTCGTAGACCCGCGTCCACTCCCCACCCCCACCGCAACTTTGGGACCATTCTCGAGCTCTTCTCTGTTCGGGACCTGTTCGGGACCCTCTCCCAGCTCTCGGTTTGGAAATCCGACTTCGATAGAGTGAGTCATCTCACCGGGGACACTGTTTATCCTCATTCGTTTTTGGTTACAAGAGTTTTTCCCTTAAGAGAGCTAGAGGAATGAAAAATTGTAGATGTCAGATCATGGTCAGTATTGGCTTTGAAGAATCTTCCCTTCGGCAACCCTCTTAGAACTAGTATCAGATCTTTGTAGCACCGACAGGTTTGTACACATTCTCGCCATGCAGTGGTTGTAATGTCTCCATAGCACAGTTCTGACTTGAAGGCAGGATTGGCTGGCTTTTCTACTCGACATCTTTAAGCCAATCAAGAAGCGCTGCTTGCCTGGAGACTGGTTAACTCAGAAAAGGTGGGGATTGGTTGAGCTCAGAGGAGAAAATCTAGAAGATGAACCTGGCCTCTTAGAAAACAATGACTGGTTTCCACTTGCCTTTTCTTCCTCTTAAAAAACAAAAACGGTTATCTTTTGTTGCCAATATCAACCTTTTCATCCCGTTTTTATTGTTTCCTGTGTTTTCTCTAAAACCATCTCTCTTTTGTACCTCACCCCTTTAACCTCAGTTTTCCCCAGAAGAATTCTTGACACGCTTCAAGAAATGTAAACGTGTATTTTGTGTTTTGGCAAGCGTGGTTCATTTTTTTTTTTTTTTTTTGCATCTTTCCTTTTTATAGGTCAGAATGAAATCAATTTTTGGTTCCTATGCCAGAGCCTTTTAAAGTGCTATATGAGGATAGGGGCTATGCTGGAGGTGGTGGGAGAATAGGAAAGAAATGGCTGCTCTTCTGCAGGGAGGCTACAATTAAAGAAAAAATGATTAGCCTGTAGAACAACAACAACAATAATCATAACAACAACAAAACCCCAACTCTACAAATCATCATACAGTACTTGCGAGTATCAGTTAGTGCACCTGTTGATTGTAGTTGCTTTGAAGGGGAGAGAATGGGAGTACTGAACTGTATTGAAAAAAAATGACTTGGGCTGGGATTGTGGCTCAGCGGTAGAGCACTTGCCTAGCATGGGCAGGACCCGGGTTTGATCCTCAGCACCACATACAAAATAAAGGCACTGCATTGTGTCCATCTACACCTAAAAAATAAATATTAAAAAAAAAAGAAAAAAATGACTTGAGTTATGGTAAAGGCATGTTTTTCTTCATTAAAGTAGGCACGGTGTCTTATAGAAGTTAAATAAGTATAAGTGCAGGTACATTTCTTTTAAAAAATGCTAATTATTTTCCTTATAACACTTCTCTTTCAAGCCCAGCTTGGCCTGTAGGTAGATGCAATGCTTGAGACCCTGGGTAAACACCAGGTCGGGCCACACAGGGGGACCCTGTCTCAAAAACAAACAAACAAACAAAAAAACCTTCCCTTTTTTATGATTATTCATGATTATGCATATCTTTTGATATGCAGTTTATTAGTCAATGTGAATTTTAGAAAATAACTACCTAGCTTTGCCTTCCCTTGACACTTCCCCCACCCCAGGAACTGGGTGCTTTACCACTGAGCTACATTCCTTAACCTTTTTGTTTTTTATTTTGAAACTGGGTCTTGTTAGATTGGTTACTCTGGCCTCCAACATGAAATCCTCCTGCCTCAGCTTCCTGAGTTGGTGAGATTATGTGTCCCTGTGCCACTGCACCAGGCCTTCAGCTTTTTATATACAAAATAACATTAAGATTTGGGAAGAAACTTGAGTTTGCTTTATGAAACAGTAAATATCTATAATATGCCTTTAAAAGTAATTTACATTTGGAATTAAGAGATTGAAGCCCCGTACTCTACCCTTCCCCCACATTCTGGGGATTGAACCCAAGAGGCACTTCACCATTGAGCTACACCCCCAGCCTTTTTTTTTTTAAACTTTTTTATAGTTGTAGATGGACAGTATGCCTTTATTTATTTATTTTTTATGTGGTGCTGAGGATAGAACCCACTGCCTCACACATACTAGGCAAATGCTCTTCCACTGAGCTATAGCCCCAGCCCAACCCCCAGCCATTTTTATTTTGAGACAGAGTCTGGCTAAGTATCCATTCTCCTGCCTCAGCCTCCCAAGTGGCTGGAGTTTATAGAGGTGTGGGCTACTTGGCCCATCTTAAATTAACTAGATTTTTATGACTACTAATCAATGGAATTACTGGATCAAAGAACCCACATTGTTAACACTTGGCTGAGAACAGGTCCTGGGTGTACCAGTTTCACTAAACCTCACTACACTAATGGTGGATCCTATTTTTCTAAATGTATATAACGTTTTTCTAAATGTTTATAACCTTTGATCATCTATTGGATCAAGCTCTTTTTTATTAAAACTGAGCAAGTCCCCAAAATACGGTTTTTAGTGTCTTTTTTTCTTGAAAATATTTTTCTTTAATTTTGCTATTACTTTGTAGTTAGTTTTTCCTTCCCAGGGCCTTGCGCATTCTAGACAAATGTTCCACCACTTAGTTATGTATGTTCTTCGCTCTTCTAATGTTTATTCTCTTTCTTCTTTCACATTCCAATTGATCATTGAACCCCATTGTATCTTTTTCTTTTATAATAGTCACTTGAATTTGTTCCTTTTCTTAATCTCTACTGCTACCATTCTATTTCATGGTTGGTATCTTTCACCTGGGTTGCTGCAGTGGCCTCTTGACTGGTCCTCCCTGCTTCTCGTCTTGTCTTGCAATCAATTTTTTTCTCCTTCACTGTAGCTAGAGTCATCTCTTTTAACACACTCTACTTAAAACCTTTTTTTTTTTTTTTTTTGTGGATTTTCATTGCTTTCAATGAAAGCAATGATAAAGTCTGAACTTGATTTGGCTTTCAGAACCCTCATGATTTGGCTTTTAGTTACAATCTTCATTTTCTTGTCACGTTCTCCCTTTGCCCTCAGTATGCTAGTCCTATTCAGTTACTTGCATTTCTCCCTTAAGATACTGAGTTCATTAAATATATAGGCCTTAGTACAGAAGCTTGTCTGCCTGAATACCTACCTAGATCTCTCCTTACCTCCTCTTTTGCTTTGTTAACTCATACTTGTCTTTCAGGTTGTAGTTCTGGGCAATACCTCCATGAAAAAGTCTTCTTTGATATATATCTGGATTATTACATGAGCCTCCAGTTTATTTCCCTAGGACTCTGTTCTCCTATCACATTGTGATTGATTATTTTTACTGGTTAGGTTATAACAAAGGAGGGAGGTAAATCGAGATAGGATTTCACTAAGTTGCTTAGGCTGGCCTTGAACTTGCAATCCTCATGCCTCAGCCACCCATATCTGTGGTATTACAGATGTGTGTCACTGTCCCTGGCTTCCATTCTAATTTTTTTTTTTCTTTTGGTACGGGGAATTGAATCCATGGGCATTTAACTGTCCGGTCCCAACCCCCCTCTTTTAAGTTTTGAGACAAAGTCTTGCTAAGTTGCTTAGGGCCTCACAAAATTGCCCTGGCTTTGAACTTGCAATCCTTCTACCTCTTCCTCTGTGTTGTTGGGATTATAGGCGTGCACTAACATGCCTGGCTTTCCATTGCAATTCTTTTTTTTGTTGTTGTTGTTACTGGGGACTGAACTCAGGGGCACGTGACCACCGAGCCACATCCCCAGCCCTGTTTGGTATTTTATTTAGAGATAGGGTCTCACTGAGTTGCTTAGCACCTTGCTTTTGCTGAGATTGCTTTGAACTCATGATCCTCCTGCCTCAGCCTCCCAAGCCTCTGGGATTATAGGTGTGCACCACCAAGCCCAGCTCCATTGTAATTCTTTTTTTTGTGTGTGTAAGTTTTTAAAAAATTTTTAAAGATATTGATGGACCTTTATTTTTTATTCATTTATTTATATATGGTGCTGAGACTCAAACCCAGTGACTTACATGTGCTAGTCAAGTGCTCTACCACTGAGCTACAGCCCCAGCCCTCTAATTCATAATTACTCTTCTGATTATGAATTTTATCTTTGTAGGTACTTAATTTGTAGGAAGAAGATGCTCTGTTTTATGGACCTGAGTATTCCTGAGACTGAAATGGTAAATACAATATTTTAGAGAACTAAATTGGCATTTTGGTTTGTGCTAGCATACTTTAAATGTTTGTTGAGCTCATTTGTTAAATAAGACACGTATCTGTAAGATGCTTAGGCTAGTAGTCTAAACAAATAAATATAAAGGTGCTAAGGTAAAGGTATGCATAGAATACAGTAGGAGCTTAAAGTGCTTAGTCAGATTTTGGGAGAGTAGAAAACTTTCCTGAAGTAAAGTTAATTGAGACAGGAGTACAACTTTGGTTGCATGAGGAATAGGGACTTCTGGACAGAGCATTTGTGAGGCAGAGATATCATATTGGCCTACTTGATGAGGGAAGCAAATAATTAGGTGTAGGTGAAATAGAGAGTACCTGGGGAAATGGGGAAAAGCTCCCTAGGTAGGGGGCGAGTTGAATAGGGAGAATGGATGGATATGATATTTGCATTCTTATTGAGGAATACAAAGTAACAGATGGAGTAAATTTTGCATATCATTTCCAGAGCTATCAAGATCTAGTAAAGTTATTTGTTAGGGGATCCAAAGTTGGTAATTAATTGTGTAGTTGCAATGAAATAAAATTTATTTTTCATTTTTCAGGATTTCTGCTGTGATTTTCTTTTCTGTTTCTAACTCTACTTCTCTGAAGTGAACATTCTCTTTCCCTGCTAACCCACCACCTCTTTTTCTTTGTAGTTAACTCTTTACATTTACTTTTTTGTGTGCGTGCCTGTGGTACTGGGGATTAAACCAAGGCGCACTCTACCAGTGAGCTGGTGAGCTACACCCCAGCCTTTTTTATTTTCTGTTTTGAGACAAGGGTCTCACTAAATTGCTTAGGGCCTCAGTAAGCTGCTGAGGCTGGCTTTCAATTTGCAATGAGCTCCTGCCTAGGCTCCTGAGTTGCTGGGATTACAGGTGTGTGCCACCCCATCTGGCTTATTTTAACCATTTAAAAATGTGCAGTACAGTCTTGCTAACTATATGCACATTTTCACCTTATAAACTGAAACTCTGCATTCATTGAACAGCTTCTCTTTTCTCCCTCCCCCTGACCCTTGGCCATCATATTCTATTTTCTGTTATCATTCTAGTAAAATTATCAATAATTCCTTCATATATACTAATCCTACCATATTCATGTTTCTCCAATTGTTCCAAAAATTGCTGCTTTTTTGTTTTGTTTTTTTAAATACCAGATTTTGATCAACTGCTACCAGTTGCATTTGGTTGTTCGAATTGTCCTTCTTACTCTCCCACCCACTCCTACACCTTCCTTTCTTCCTCTGTGTTACTGACCTGATAACTCTGTTGAGACCATATTACATTTGTGTTGCTGGATTGTTTCCTCATAATGCAATGTGACTGCTTTCTCTGTTCCCTGTAATTCTTGTAAACTGGGAGTTAGATATAAAGGTTTTCACTTATTTGTGAAACTACAAACAAGTAGATTTAGGTAAAATGTATTGGAGAAGAGTATTTCATTTAGTAATACTCTGTACTTAATAGTCTTTCTTATTAAGAGGCATGTAATATCTTGTTGTACTATTACAATGTTATCTGGTCATCAAGGTCAGGTAGTGACATTGATTTTTCATTGTCAAGTTATATTTCTCTCTTTGCATTGAGCAGGTAATCTGTTGTATGCTAATTTGGCACCAGATTAATTAATTCTTTCTTTTTGTCTTTTTTTTTTTTTTGGCCGTGCTGGTGATTGAGCTCAGGGCTTCACACATACAGGCAAATGCTTTACAACTGAGCTGCATCCCCTGCTCATCAGGTTAATTTCTATTAGCTTTTCACCTAATAATGATTTAACATTCATTGATGATTTTTTTTTTTGGAGGTTCTGTTTTCACTTATTTGTGAAACTACAAACAAGTGATTAAAAAAAAAAAACCAAAAACCCTGGCATACAGATTTTGTTTTTTGTCTTGTTCTCATTGTTTTCTTTCTTTTTTTTTTTTTTGTTCTCATTGTTTTCATTCTCCTCTTTAACAGATGAAAAGATAACAGGTTAGACCAGTCATAGAACTAGGGGACAGTCCAGCCCTGGGTAACTGAAGTGAGTAGGAGGAGGAGCCAGAGGAGAGGCCTAGGAGCTTGGCTGATGGCCAGACACACTAACAGTTCTAACATAATACAATAAAACAGGGACTTCTTTATTCTCTTTTTATTGATGATTCTTGATCAGTGATTATGTGATCATCAGAATGATGGGTTACAAAATGGTGATTTGTTTTGGATTTTGTTGTTCTTTTAACGTTGCATTAGGCTAGCCTCTATAAAGGTTTCCCTCATCAACTAGGTCTACTTTATTACTTTGAAATATCATTCTTCATAAAAAGGCAGAAAAAATGCCTAATTCTTTCTTTTTATATAACCATTTTCGGAGTCTAATAGACCCTTCCATTGGTGGTGAATGAAGTCTTTCTTTTTATGGCTTTCTCTTTGGAATGTCATGTATATTTACATTATAAACATTCTATTGGATTTGATTTCATTTAAGGTTATAATTTGATATGAGTTTGCTTTTAATGTATGATATTTTATTTTATAGTAAGAAGACTTTATGTTGGATAACAGGAAGAGGTGTAGAGTTTGCAGGTATCAACTGTGGTCTTACTAAGCATGTCAATAGCATCAATGCCAGATAGACGGTAAGTATTATTAAAATTGTAGGGTATTTTACATGTAGATTTTCAAGCTTTCATTTATATAGTTGAATGATTAAAAGAACAATGTCTCATGAGAAGGAAAATAATCATGGATTTATTTTACTAGAATTCCTAAAGGAGCTAGTGGTTGTATAAAACATCTTAGAGAATCTAAATGTGGTCCCAGTTTTTCTATTCATTGAGTGTTTTAGTTTCTCTATCTCTAAAATGCCACTCTTGCTTATTGATATTTTATATATTGTTAGCCATCCATAATTATTTGTGGCTTATTTTATACATGGAACTATGCTAAGTGCTAGTTTGGAGTATATGTTATGATCTGTGTTCTCAAGGAATATAGCTAATTGGGGAGACAAACATATATGGATGAAATTGTAAGTTGATTCCAGTGTAGACATCCTGGGAGGTCACTCTCTCCAAGCCCTGTCTAAGTGGTGTAGGGGAGCATGGGGCTCTGCCACAGGATGTATAGTCTCTTTCCACAATGTCGGAGGTGAAGCTGGGCTTGCATCTTCCTATACCATCTCAGAATCCTTTGCGACTGAGGAGACAAACCATGTAGAAAACATGTTAGTGAAAAAAAAATGTCAGTAAAACTAATAATGGAAGGCTCTAAAATCATTAAGCAAGACTAGTGTTACAATAATTGGTAAAAAATTATAGAAAATATTGAAGGGTTATAGAGAAATCCATCTTCTTGCCTTTCTTCAAACGAAAACCAAATTATTCAGCAACTGGTTTTTACCTTTAGCAACATGTCTCAGAGCTCTGTCTGGTTTCTACACACCTCTGTTTTTTTTTACCTGCTGCATAATTTTTAAAAGGATGTTTTTGCTATAATTTTACCATACTCATTTCCATCAGTGTTTAGGATGTTTTCAATTATCAGTTATAAGAAATAGTTCTTATGACATATAAATATCTTTTAAGGTGATTGTTTACGTTTTTTTTTTGTAAATATTGTCTTTGTAGTGATATGCCTTTTGTACCTTCATGAGATTTTGGTATCTGCTTTACCCTTATCATACAGTACACTTGAAATCATCTTTTAGGTAACCTAACCCTTAGTAAAGATGGATTGTGCTGTTTTTTGGTAGCCTTTGTTTTTGAGGGAGATTTCTGATCTGTCTGGAATCATGGTGTGTTTGGATCCTATATATACTTTATAGGGGAATTTTTTTTTGATGGTATTCTTGTATTTTGATGATTTTTAAAGAGCTAATTTATTATTCATATATTTGGTTGTTAGTATCAATTTTCTTAAGCCTGTTCTTCCTAAATGGCTGATAATGAGTATTAAATAGAAGTTTGTTTTTTTTTGGTATATGTGTGTGTGGTTCTGGGGATTGAACCCAAGGCCACGTGCGTCCTTGGCAAATGTTCTGTGTCTCCAGCCACCAGAACATCTTTCTTGTTATAGAAAAATATTATTTTTTACATATTATTTCACAATGACAATGGTAAGCTTATTTAAAGTTACTGGTCCTGACAATATATACATGTAACAACAGATTTATTCATAAAAGTATATGGGAAATTTTTTGTGTTGATGATGAGATTTTTAGTTGGAGGTTTTTTTTTTTAAGTGGTATTATTCGTACGTCTACTTTAATGGCAGTATTGACCATTGCCATACCACTATAGAGTTTATGTTCACTCTAGTGTAGTTGGGCACCTTTTTTTTTTTTTTTTTCTTTTTGGTGATAGGGATTTAATCCAAGGGCACTTGACCACAGCCCTTTTTCTTTCTTTTTATTTTGAGATAGGGTCTTGCTAAATTGCTGAGACTGGCCTCAAATTTATGATCCTCTTGTCTTAGCCTCCAAACGTGTTAGGATTGTAGGCTTGCACCACTACACTCAACCCTAGTCATTTTTATATTTGAGACAGGGTCTTGCTTAGGTGCTCAGGTGCCCAGGCTGGCTTCAAACTCACAGTCTTCCTGCCTTAGCCTCTCAAACAGCTGAGATTACAGATGTACAACACTGCACCCAGCATATTTGGACAAACTTTGCAAGAACTTGTCTCAAAATTTTAAAAGGACTGGAAGTGTAGCTTGGTGATAGAGTACTTGTTTAACATATACAAGCCCCTGGGTTTAATCCCTTGTACTACAAACAAACAAAACTAGAATTGATAAGACCTCTGCTTACTGTGCTGGAATGCTATGATGATTATCAGGGAGTAAATATTTATCAGTTATTTTCTCTATCAGTTTAAAATTGAATATTAGAGGTATAAGGGTTTGGAAAATGTGTATATGTTGTATATGTGGAATTTATGTTCATAGTATTGTTATTAATAATTATCTACTTTTAGGTTCTTTATATGAGCCATTTTCTAATATGAGTATATTTCTAAAATATATCAAACCTTACTCATTCTTATTTTACATATCCTTTTAGGATACTCAATTAAGGTCAGGTTTATATGTGAAGAAACTGTATATGCTTTTTTAAACTTTTGTCTTAATATTAGACTCTCCTGGAAAAATGATGATATGTGAGATCAGATTGTATAAGAGTTAAACATGAACATCATTTATAGTGGAATAAGTGGGACTTAAATAAATTGGATATATAGAGCAAAAATGGTGTTTGGGAGGTAGTGCCAGCTTTGTATGTTTTATATATCATATTTTTTTCTCTATACAAAACATTAGTTGGATACTCAGATTACCTATGTATTTAGATTTTTTTTTTAATACCAACAGATAAAATGAAAGAAAAGAGTGTTAGGAGATATATAATTTGTACACTGGTGAAAGTAAGCATAAAGGAAAGTCCAAAACTCATCTTTAGTTTATGATAATGATTGTTTTTTCCGTGATATGAAAAACGTATATGTTATAGATTACTTGAAAAATCCGAAAGTAGTATTTAAAAAAAAAATCACCTATAATTTTTTTTGGGGGGTCCATTCTTGTGTAATTCAGTCCCATTTGGGTGTCTGTGAAGGTTGTATTCTAACATTTCCTTTAATAAAGTTTCCATTAAATATTGTCCAAAACATAGTCTTTTTTTGTTTCTGTTTTTTAGATGGGGTTTTGCTGTATTGCCCAGGCTGTCCTCAAGCTTCTAGACTCAGCAGTCCTCTTGCCTCAGCCTCCCAAGTAGCTAGGACTAAAGGGACCCAGCTCAAAATATAGTCTTTAATGGCTGCCTAAAATTCCATCTTGAATCTAAAGAGATACTGTATTTTATGGAATCTGACAAATCTGGTTTCAGATTAGCAGATTTAAAAAACAAGCAAATGATCTGAATAGACATTTCTTCAGGGAAGATATACAAGTGCCAATAAGCATCTGTAATTGTGGTAGAAAACATTAGTCATTAGGGAAATTCAAATAAAAACCAACTAGATAAAGCTAGATCCAATTAGAATGGCCATAATTAAACAGAAGGGTAATAACAGGTATAGGTAAGGATGTAGTGAAATTGGAATCCTTATACATTGCTAGCAGAAACTGAAATTTATGCAGTTCCTTTGGAAAAAAGTCTGGTAGTTCTGTAAAGGTTAAACATAGAACCAGGTTCGGTGGTATAGGCCTATAATCCCAGCAACTTGGGAGGCTGTGAGGCAGGAGGATCATAAGTTTGAGACCAGTCTCAGCCATTTAGGAAAACCCTATATCAAAATAAAATATAAGAGGACTGGGGTAGAAGTTTAGTGGTAAAGCACCCCTGGGTTCAATCCCCAACCAACTAATCAACCAAAGCTTTTGTTTATGGTGCCATATGATCTAGTAATTCCGCCTTTAGGTATGTTCCTAAAAATTTGAAAACATATGTCCACACAAAACTAATACATGAATATTCATAGCAACATTATTCATAATATTCAAATATCTATTAACTGATTAATAAGTAAAATGTGGTATACAGTAGAATATTATTTAGCACTAAAAGGAATGAAGGATACAGGCTGGTTGCAACTTGGGTAAACTGAAAACATTGGACTAAGTGAAAGAAGCCACTCATAAAAGATCACATTGTATGATTCCATTTATATAAATGCCCAGAACGGTAGACAAGTCTACAGAGATTGAAAGTAAATTTGTGATTGCCAGGGTTTAGGGTATGGAGTTTCTTTTAGAAGTAATGGGAATGTTCCGGAATTATGTTGTGGAGATAGTTGTACAACTCCATAAATATACTGAAAACAACTGAATTGTGTGTACCTCTGATTTGGTGAATTTTGGGCTAAGGGTAGTTCAGTGATAAAGTGCTTGCCTAATATGTGTGAGGCCTTGGGTTAATCCTCTGCAAAACAGACACACACACACACACAAACACGGAAAAAAAAAAAAGAGAGAAACCCCAAATGGTGAATTTTATAGTTTATATATTATATTTAATAAAACTGGTATCAAAAAGATAATTGGGAGCTAATACGCTTAAAAACAAAATCAGATGAGAGATGCTGTTGCTTTTGAACCAGGTAGGTAGGGTGGAGGTAATGAGAAATGGTTGGATTCTAATTGTATTTTGAAGTTAGAACTGGCAGGATTTGCTAAGTGATGATTAGATATAAGGTGTGAGGGGAAGAGGAGGCAAGAATGACTCTTGGCTTTTTGGCCTCAGCAACTGGAAACTTCCATTAGCTGAGATTTTCAAGACTAGTTAGGGCAGTTCTTTAGTGGAGGATCAGATCACTTTTTACACATGCCTAATTTGGGTTGTTTATTAGATACATAAAGTAGAAGTGTTCAGAGGGTAGTTTGATGTCTGGAGTTAGGAAAGAAGTATTATTGGAGATGTCAATTTGTTAGCAGGTTGATGTGTTTAAAACCATGAGTCTGGATCAGTGAGGGTCAATGAGAAAGAAGAGGCTCCCAGGCTCAGTTGGAGCCTCAGAGCAGTTTTCAAATTGAGAGTTGAGAAAGCCTGAGTTGAAAAGCCTGAGAGAGGCAATGTCTTCAGGAGAGGAGAGTAAGTTCTCAGGATGGAATATGATCCATCAGGTGTGGAAGTACTGCTGTGATAGATCTGAAAAAATAAGAATTGACCTTCAGATTTAATTTTGTTTTCTGATGTTTGTTAGTATAAACAAATACACCTTATCAGCCTTGCTAAACTATCTGATTACTAATGTATAGATTCTTTTGGATTTTGTATTCACACAAAAATCTATAAATACTGGTAGTTCTGTATTTTCATGTCCTATTCTTAACAACTTTTTTTTCCTTTTCAAGTCTTAATGTGCTGGGTATGACCTCTACAACAATGGAATATGGAAGTGGTGATAGCAGAAATTCTTGTTTCATTTCTGATTATAAAGGGAAAACTTTCAGCAAGTTCGTAATTGTGAGGGTTTTTGTGTGTTTGTTTTTGATAAGTGTTTTTATCATTTCCATTTTATTTCTAGTTTGTGTAGAGTTGTCATAAGTGGAATGTTGGCTTTTCAAATGCTTTTTCAGTATACACTGAGTTGATTATATGATTTTTCTTTATTGTCAGGAATTACAGTGATTTCCAAATGTTAATACAATCTTGTATTTTAAAAATAAATTGATGCATTACTCTTTTTCTATGTAACTTTGATATTTGGTAACCTATCACTCATATAATT